CACCCTATTATTACAAGTCCCCACCACCACCATCACCATCTCCCCCACCTCCTTACTATTACCACTCTCCACCTCCCCCGGTGAAGTCTCCTCCTCCTCCATACCACTACACTTCACCTCCCCCACCCGTAAAATCACCTCCTCCTCCATACTACTACACTTCACCTCCCCCACCCGTAAAATCACCTCCCCCTCCAGTATACATTTATGGTTCTCCGCCACCACCAGTCCACTACTAAGCAAGTTGAAAAGCTTGGCCATTTTCCACAACCACACAAGTAAGTAGCTGCAATATGAATTATACTTTATTAGGGAGTTCTTTTAATTACACAAAATTGAAGGTGATATTCAACTAAAGATCTAATATTTCTCTGCTGCCCTTTTGCAGATTTCAGTTTAAATCACAAAATAAGTGATGGCTTCTTGAGGGAAAGATTCAGACGTCCATGGTCAAAAGCAATTAATTTAATCAATAAGATCATCAACTTTGCAATTCAGAGGTTGATTCCAAGCGACTTGGACCACTTTGCTTCTACTTTTCTGGTGGCCTTCTTACACATTGTTCTCATTGTGTCTTCACGTGGAAGTGGCTTCAACAGCTTAGTTTTTTATTAGAATATTAATTATTTAGTTGATATTTGAAGTGTATTTGAGTTTTCATGTTTTTTTATGTTTCTTCTTTATAATTTATTATTGTAAGTATATCTTTGTTTGATTTGTTTCGTGTTAATTATTGTTGGCTGTCTCCTAGTGCCTACTTGTGCTTTGTGCACCAAATCAATAAAGAGATGAATTTTGTTCACTTCACTTGTTTTCTTTGGTTTTATTATCAGTCCGACTAATTTGTATTCCCGCTTCATAGGACTTATTAAAAGGGGGCCATTGTGTGTATTATAAAGACAAGATAATCTAAATTTTATACTTTCGTGGTAAACTCAAGTAGTACACATTACCAATTCAAGTACTAACATGGACATCAAATTAGTAAAATCCGAACTTTTAGGGGCGGCCCGACGAGTTTAGTAGGCTAAAGTCAAATTTTATGAGGGGCCTTAACTTTTAAAAAAAAAATTTATTTATTTATTTATTTATTTGAATTCTATTTTCTAGCGTTTCCTACGTACAAAGTTATTAATAATTTTCTTATAATCAATAAATCCTAATAAGTCTTTCTTAATAGACAATATAGCTAATCCATTTAAATTTTCTTGAAACATTATTTTTCTTAGGTAAGATTTTATCAATTTTAATTTTGATAATTTCTTTCCACTGAAGCAAGTTATTAACATTATTCCATAAGTAATATAGGCATTGGAAAAATAATCAAATCTTTTAATTTCACCGGATGTATCAATTTGTGACGACCCAAAGGGTCATCACCGTAATTCTCCCTTGTTCTGTACTTCCGAGGCCTTGAAAACCTCTTGTGTGGTCGCCTCGATTTGCGTGCACAGTCCGGCCGCGAAGCCGGAAAGTTTTTATGTTAATAAATTTGAAATCTGTGTTTAAATTGATTAATTTTGACTATAATATTGATATGGTTGACTTCGGTCAATATTTTGGGCAAATGGACCCGGACCCGTGATTTGACGGTCTCGGAAAATCCGTAGGAAAATATGGGACTCGGGCATATTCACGGAATCGAAATCCGAGGTCCCAGGCCCGGGAAAATAATTTTTCTGTTTAATTATTTTCTGTTAATGTTTAAGGAAAATGAATTTGATAAATGACCAAAAGGTAATGGTATCGGGCTCGTATTTCGGTTCCGATGCCCGGTACAAGTCATAAATAATTGTTAAGCGTTATCTGTGAAGTTTCATTGGAATCGAACGTTATTTGACTTGTTTCGGACTTGAGAATGAAAGTTTTGTGTTTTTTTGAGGAAAAGAATGAAATTATGATTTTGAGGCTTAATTATATGCAAATGATATTATTTTGGCGATTTGATCACATGAGTAAGTTTGTAGGATGTTTTTGAGGTTGTGTGCATGCTTGGTCTGGAGCCCCGAGGGCTCGGGAGAGTTTTGGGTAGGTGTCGAGTTCATTTTGCATGATTGGAACCTGCTTCTGGTGTCTCAGACCTGCAGGCTTCGCAATTGCGAAGCCCCTTCTTTCCATTCAGTCATTGCAAATGCGATGATATTCTTCGCAAATGCGATATCCCCTCAGCCCAGCCCAAGTTCGCATTTGCGAACCCCATCTCGCAAATGCGAGTTCCCCTTTGTCCTAGCCCAGTTCGCATTTGCGAACACCCTCTCGCAAATGCGAGGTCCGTCTTTTTTCAACCCTGTTCGCATTTGCGAATTCCTTCTCGCAAATGCGAGGTCCCCTTCTTTAATGCCCAGTTCACAATTGCGAATTCTATCTCGCAATTGCGAGGTCCGTGTCTGTGCAAAATATACTTAACCGATTTTAAACCTCACTTTTCATATTTTCAAAACCCAAAACCTCCATAGACAATTTCTCTCGAACCCCTTCGTCCCCAATCCGATTGTAAGTCCATTTTTACTTATTTTCATCAATCCTCATCATCTTCTAACATGATTTCTTCATTAAATCAAAGCTTTCATGGTTAAAACTGGGGATTTGGGTAGAATTTAGGTTTTTCAATAATTTGAGCTTTTGGACCTTGATTTGAGGTCCGATTTCAAATCTAATTATAGATATAAGCTCGTGGAGGAATGGGTAACCCGGTTTTGGTTCGAACCTCGGATTTTGACCATGTGGGCCTTGGGGCGTTTTGGAAATTTTTGGGTAAAACTTTGGGAAACACATTCTTATGCATTCAAATTAGTTTAACTAGGATTTGTTGATTCATTTGGGTAATTTATGATTAGATATCGTTGTTTGGGAATCAGATTCTAGAGGAAAGGCGGTGTTAGAGGCTTGATTGCTAGATTTTCGGCATCGAGGTAAGTGTTTGATCTAACCTTGGCTTGAGGGAATAGGATTAGGATATTGCTTGCTATGTGCTACTTGGTGTTGGTGTATAGGCATGGTGACAGTTATCTATGCACCCGAGTCTAGCATGACTGTGAGTCTTTATATGTTCTAATTGAATTGTATCTCATGAATTCTTGAATTGATAAACATGATTAGAATAACATGTACAATTGAGGATAAGTAGCAATTTGTGTGGTTTGGGAGCATTGACTCGACTTGGTTTTGATTGATAGATGAAGTATAAAGTTGATGTAGTTGTGATCATATCCCTTGCCGGTATCATTAATGTTATCTATATTCTTTCCCTGTTATGTATTGATTGAGTTCTCATGATTTAGCGAGGGAGAGTATTTATGCACGATGGGTCCTCCCGTGATATGTTGTTGAAATGGTTAAGCACGACGGGTCCTACCGTGCCATGATATGAGAGTGTGGAAGGATGAAAGCACGATGGGTGTTGCCGTGCAATTATTTGATTATTGTTGCAAAGTTGAAAGTAAAGGCGATTGATTCATATTGTATATGATATCTCTGATTCTTCTGCTTAATCTTGTTGTTCTATATTACTTCTTTCCTGATTATCTTTATATGTTAAATTGTGTTACCCCCTTATCATGTCCCTTCCCATTTAACTGTTTATCTTCTGTTTAATTATTGCTAGTATGTATAGAACTATATTTGCACAAGTTTATTTGGAAGTAGGTCATGTCTAGTCTCGTCACTACTTCGCCGGGGTTAGGCCAGACACTTACCAGCAGATGGGGTTGGTTGTGCTGATACTACTCTTACTGTGCCTTTTTGTGCACAGATCCGGGAGCAGCCTTCATTCAGCAGCAGCAGTATTCTGGGAGCACGCCTTCAATCCAGAGACTACTAGGTAGCTCATTGGCGTCCGTGGGCCCTTAGTCTCCTCTTATTATTGTCGTTTTTTCCTTTGTATCGAACAAATATCTATGTATTTCTTTCTTTCAGACCACTGCTTGTAATAAATTCGTAGAAGTCTGTGAGTATTGTGACACTAAATTCTGGGTAGAAGTTTGTAGTCGGTTCCTTGTCGCATTTGGTTTTATTAATTAATTATATCTATACTTCCGCATTTATTTCTTCTACTTTATTTATTATTCTGTTAAATTAAAAGCTGTTATTTCTTGCTAAGTTGGCTTGCCTAGCTCCGAGAGTAGGCATCACCACGACTTTCGATGGTGGAAAATTCGGATCGTGACATAATTAAACTGTTATCTTCTAATTGTACTATTTTTCTTAATATTTTTAATTCTGAAAATAAATCTAAATCATCAATATCAAATTGATTATTATGCTTTAAGGAACATTCAAGATTAAGGCAATATTTTTTCAATTTCCATCATATAGTTGTCACACCTCCTTTCTACACCCCGTGAAGGATATAAGGAAGTTTTTCCACTTTAAGTGACATTATTCAAAATGGGATCATTTATTTGATTTCAGAGTCGCCACTTGGAATAAATTACGGTGTTCCAAGTCACCGATTTATTTTAAAATCCCAAATCGAGGAAGTTTTATTTTTAGAGAGTCTGCGAACCAGAAATTCTAAGCAAGGAGTTCTGTTAACCCGGGGGAAGGTATTAGGCACCCCCGGATTCCGTGGTTCTAGCACGGTCGCTTAGCAATTTATACTTGGCTTAAATTGTTTAACTACTCATTTTTAGGACCTATGTGCAATTACATTTTTACCGTTTTAAAACACTTGAATTATTCACAATTAAAAAAATCGAGTTACGCGTACGTATACTCTTTTCTTTTGGCGCGTCAAAATCATGTCACGCGAACGCGTCCACAATTAATAACGCTTTTTGTTAATTTATTAAGAAATAATTAGTTACAGTTGCACGAATGCATCCCTCGAGTCTTTTAATAAATTAATTTGCAATTATGTTACGCGAA